ATATATATATATCACTATAATAATTCTGTATGTAATAATCTGGATTTTCTTTTTATACATGCATATTATATTTATTCATGGCATTTTGGCATAAGATAAGATCCAGTCGTAAATTTTCTTATATTTTCGAGATAAAACGTCTATATCTAAAATACGTACGCGCGAAATAATACATTTGCATTTATTTTTATCATTTTGAATTATTTTTTATTAAAGTATTGCACTGTGATTTACAGCGCGTTTGCCGCTATATGTATAGACATGCGGATAAAAGAATGAAGAAAATATGTACATGTAAAATCGAGATCTACAAAAATAGCACATATTATTTAATATTTTTCCTTCCATTCTCTCTCTCTCTCTCTCTCTCTCTCTCTCTTTCTCAGTCACTTCGCGATACTGGAAAAGAAAATTTATCAGCGATATAGCATTTTTTCGATTTTGATCGTTCGCACGAGGATTGCACGAGTCGTCACGTGTCTACATCTGCTAGGGCTACTGAATCGGTCTGAAGGAGCCGGATAGCGTTGTTTTACGTCACTGACCAATACGTAATAAACGAGTATTCGCACACGACGGACGGTGCTTGGCATTCGGCCAAAGAACCGCTAAAGTTTCATCGCTATTGCTTTTGTTTTCGCGATCTTACGTATAATATATCTAGCCTGTGACTCACGCGCGATATTGTCATTCGCCGCTAAATTAAAGCAAATGATTATGAAATCCACTTCCGTGGATTACGCCATTTAATTGAGAGTCCACTTGGACGTCGGTCCCACCAGAACCGACTTATAGAATAGCACTATATAATACAATATAATATACGTAGTAGGGATAAGCATTATATCGTTTGCGCATTGCAGTAAGTGGTAAAACACCCGCTCTCTATTTCATGCCAAACTATTTGAGACTATAGCGCGCGTTTCGCTCTACACACTATATATAGACCTAACGTACTGAAACCGATATACCATTTTGTTTACGATTTCTAGTCTTTAACTGAAAATTTAAAATAAAAAGTTATACTTGCAGATATTTACTAGATACTGGCTCCAAGCAGAGTTTTGATCAAATAATTTCAAACTTTTTCTTTTTTAACAAATGGCTTAAAAAAGTGGCAACAAATTAAAGTTTGAGAAATCTTTGAGGTTTCCAAAAAATGTTGGAGAAAACTTGCGTCGTAATTTTGTACCCTCTGTTTGTACATCAGCGTAACATATATTGAAGGAATTAAGCGAGATACACATCATATCCAATCTTTTGCGATTGAAAACGATAATTCATTCTCTCTTTCAGCTTCTTCGATGGAGAGCACCGGTAACGATAAGCAAAACGAGTCGGATGAATGCGACGTGAACGGGGATAATAAGAAGCGAGACGGGGACGACGAGGACGAGGACGAGGACGAGGACGAGGACGACGACGACGACGACGACGACGACGAGGACGACGAGGACGACGACAACGACGAGGACGACGACGACGAGTCGACTGGGCAGGATAACGTCAATAGAAAGATGAAAGCAGAGGACAAGCGCGAGTCTTTAGAAAAGATGAATTTGAAAAACGAGATGAAAACGCTGAAGAAAGCTTTGTCGATCGACGAAGAGGACGAGAAGAGCAAGGAATCCGCCGACGAAGAGGAGCGCAAGGAAACGCGAACGAGTAGTGAGAAGAAGGAGCAAGACTCGTCTAGCGACAGCACATCCACCAGCATCTCTGATGACGAGTCCGAGACAAGTTCGGAAGACAAGACGGAGCCATCGAAGCCGGGAACGGCCAACGCGACGCAAGCGGAAACGATGAAGGAGGAATTGAAGGAAAACGCGCCCAAGAACGAGGACACCACGGATGATAGTGACATCGAAGATGATCTGGTCTCGGCGATCAATTACAACACTATTACTTCCCTGGCGGCGCTCAAGGATATGTTACAATCCTCCGGGGAGGATTCGGATGGCGTGGACAGTTTTTTTCATCATTATTTTCTGTCGCATGTTAATCGACTACCGTCGAGGACCCGCTACGGATCCTCCTTCGTATTCCACCAGCATGACTTTCTCGAGGACCAGCCCGTTGCCGAGCCCACATCTCGACAAGAGATTCTTTGATAGCAGTTTGATCGAGATGAAGAGTCAAGCGAGCAGCACCAGCACCCTCGATTACGACTCCACGGAGGAAGTGTGGATACGCAGAGTGGATTTCGTGCAGGAAAGAAAACGGCGAGTGAGTATAATCCCGATTTCTAATGATTTTAACGGAGATTGCCCAGAGAAAAAAATTTTTACTATCGAAAGCTATTAAAGAGATTTTAAGAGAAAGGAAATCAGTTGCAACTTTTTTTGTCATTCATTGTTTCCATTATTTTTTCAAGGGTTGATAAACTAATGACATGTACATATACACATTCCTATATACGTGTATTATATCGTTGTCGACATCATACTTTTATTTCATCTTTATATAATATAATTGTACCAATTAATCAATTACCGCAAAGAGAAGAAGCAGTCCGACAAATTTATTTACAGCGATCCTAGTTAATCGATTCTTGCAAATAATCTGTCTATTCGCTCATTGTTTTCTATTCAATCGAATCACGATTATATTTAGTCGGTGGTACGTAACGAAAGAAAATTAGATTCGTCGTCGTATTTGTCGCATATTTCTTCAGCAATGTTTTATTAAGATATATGCGTCGATTTATCAATGATGATTGTGCGCGCATCGTCATTATTGCTGTAACAAAACGGTTGAGAATGCTGTTTCGCGCGTAACAGCGCTTCCATATATAATCCCGAAACGGGGTAGAGATAGTCGCGTGGGTGAATGCCCGTTTAATGCGTCGTTCGTGTCGCTTTAAACTGCTCGTTCATCCATCGATCCGCATTTTTTTCATCTTGATTTTTCTTCCGTCTTGCTTTTTTAACGCGTCATTATACCGACAAAGCGCAGATTTCTGCATTTTATTACGACCCTTCTGTATGTCAAATATCATAAAGAATCACACCAAAAACAAAAATAAATGTCTCACCACATACTGTGAAGATTCGCTACTATCTTTGCGCAATTTTTGTAGACAACAAGAAATAATACTTGCGATCATCGATTCCTTGATTTTGCACGTCTCGAAAAAAGAAAGTAGTATCGATTGCAGAGAGCCCAAGACTTCATCTTCTTTTTCTCTTCTGAAAAGCGCTGATAATCTTTGTTAAAAGTTTCTTTTAAAATAATTAACAATCAATGAGAAACGAGTGATATACGTATTATGTGAATTTTTGATTATTTTTGAGGTGAATTCAATAAAAATGAGCTTTGTATGATTGTTAATTTTCAATTGTCACCTAGATATTCAGATGGCAAAAATAAGACTAGATCATATGTTTCCAAACGTTATAATATCGTTTGTCCCAGATCTCGATGTAGCTCTAACGTCTCATTGGAAGGGGTGAGGCAAAGTGATACAAGGCTTCCTTTAAGCTCTATCGATTCATTCAAAAGAGGAATTATCGAGGAATTGCGAGAGGAAGTCTTACGAATAGATATTTTGACGTGTCTACCGTTCCATGTGTCGTTTTGGCTGTAGGAAATGTTAAAACGATATTATAATGATAACGAAGAAAATTTGGATGTGCCATAGGGCGCAGAGCTTGGACAGTATATCTTGTACATTTTTCCTAGGATTGCTATATATTTTTTTGTAAGTCTTGTCGTTTCAATTCATTAACATATTATATTACATATGCTTAAATGCACTTTATATTTCTTTCGCTTTTTGAGCGATATGTGGACTGTAAAAAAAAAAAAAAAAAGGTAAATAACTGTTTTCTAATGCAATGCGGTTTCATCGGAAATATTTTGAAAAAAAAAAGACTAAAATGTGTGTCAATTTTTGAATAACTCAAATTATATATGTACAATAATTATATTTTTTAGTAAATGACAATCTATTAAATAGACATTTTTGATATAGACATTTTTGATTGTATAAATATCAATTAATTTATACGACAAAAAAAATAATACATGCTAGTATTAACATTTAGAAGAACAAGAAAATGCTATGCTTTTATTTTTATGTATATAATAAGATATTGAACTGCTTTTGAAAAGTAGATTTTATTTCCGTCTTTTAGAAAATAAAGTAGCTGTATGTAATAAAATAATAATAATATGATATAAATAGGTCGTTACGCAGATGAGCACGTAATTATCTTGATAATCGGTGATAATGGCCTTGTGACAATTGTCTAGGAAATATCATCATCGATATGATACCATCAATAATCGTAGAGACACGACCGCAAATTTCAAATACTTCACGATTCCGATAGTTTGAATCGCGCTTGTAATGGATGTGCAATTTTGAATTTGTTCAACATAAATGTTGCAAAGCTATAAGTAAAGTTTTTAAAATTTATATTAAATTAATTAGTTTAAATTTTATTGTCGATACATTTTATTTCTTGTATTTAATTATTACCGGATAATATTTTGTTTAATAGAAAAACACCGGATTGAATTAAAGAAAGACCGTCTTCGAGAAACAACACTCGCAAAAAATTTCATTGGTGTATATTAATATATATGTATGTTGTGAGTCTCATTGCCAATTTTAAAATAAAAAAATATCGAAAAAGATTATCGCGATTATCGTAGTCTGACGCGACAGAAACAATGCTACTGATGATGAGCATGACCATCGTTCAAAGGAAAATCGTTATCGATAACGAGCTGCGAAAAGATAGTGATTGCGATACTGGATACTCATTGCCGGAATACATGTTACTTGTCGTCGAAATCTTGTGGATGTATAATATCCGAGCAACAAATTTTTGAGAACCGTGTTGTTTTCGATTCAAATGTGACAAGATGTCGGTATCTCTCGGGAGAGTACGAAAGTACTCTCTGGTGCCGTATCTGGATCGTTGCCCAGAGTATCACGGGACTTATAAGGTATTAAACATAGTATTTTTCTTACAATTAACATTTCACTCGCTCAATTGATATTACGGCAGCTTATCGTTAGCTAAAACGATATTTTAAGAAAAAAAGGGGAGAGAGAGAGAGAGAGAGAAGAGAGAATAAATGAATGAAGATGAGAACCTCTCGAAGGAAGGTGCCATCCTGTCGCAATCTTCTTCGATCCCATCTCCCATTGTGCTCCGCAAGAATTCACATGAATGCGCATAACGAACGACACCACGGGGCGTCTGTCTCAGTATCCTCTTTATTCTGCAATTATACTCGATTTACAATTCATTATTGTACGTTTTTTTTTTCACCGTGTTAGTGTCGGTAATGAACGTATTTCTGTGAGTCGTATATATAAACGTCGGATGATGAAAAGCATCTTTGAGAAATTTTTCTTAGAGCATGTGTTGGCCAAAAAGGATAAAAATATTGAAGGCTACGTAATCTACCAGATAAACAAGACGATAGTTTTGTAATTTGGAAACTACATATAGTTTATGTGATTTTTTTTCCCCTTCAAATACATAAAAGATAATGATGACAGCTCACGACGTATGATAATTTATTATACACAGTATGGTTTTCATTTAGCTAAATAAGAAAACAGAAATAGATTTAAAACTTGCAAATGTACTTTAAAAATCGCAAATAAAGTAAACTGATCGCATTTATGTATCTGTTGGATACTTTTCCCGGATAAATCTTTTGTTAAAAGTATTTCAAAGATATATTATTTATTATTATGCAATTGGAATGTATGTATACAGCGAGAATGTTTTTCTCTCTT